CCTGCCCGTCTCCCCCCCTCCCCTCCCCCTAAATATGTAGGCGTACCGTTCTTCCTATTCCTCTTCCTTTTTTTTTTTTTTTTTAACCGAAACATCCGTGCCAACCTGCTATTGGAGGTGATACGAGCATCCTCCAATAGCAAGCCCCAGTTTATAGATGGCTCCAATCTATTGGTGGGGAGCAACACCTGCTGGAAACCGGGTCCAGCGTCCCACTGAGAAGATTGAAGACGATATACCTGGTGGAACAGCATTGATTGCCCTCTCTCGAGGGGATTGACTGTCCGCCCAATTATCAGCCAGGTCACAGCATATATGAAGATCTAGCCATGGGGAGGGTGGCAAACTCTGCTCCGATCATCCTAATTCCTCACAGTCGTAACCGTGCAAAGCAAACCCTAGGCCCCCTCTGTGCATAAGGCCGCTGCCCAGCTCCATGATTCACATTCTCCTCCAGCGGAGGACGTCTGCCTACCCTCTCTTATCGTAAACTATTCACCCTGCGATTGTGACCCTGGCTATAGTGTATATTCAATATTGACGTGGTCCTCTAATGTTTTTACTCCTGTAGTGGCTTCTTGGTTCCAGTTTAGCAGGCTCTCTTTTCTATTGTACATTTGCTGCATTAGTGCTAAGATGAGATCAGGTCGATGTCCATGGGATTTGGCATGCTGTTAACTGGATTACTTAGAGCAATGTTCTCTGGTCTCCCTTCCTCCCATAGTGTAAACAGGAGACTCTGTCCCTTAATGGTAGCTATCTTTCCCTTTGCTAGGTAGTTTTCTTCAAATTTCTGTTTAATTTCTTTTGCCTTATCCCCCTCCCTTCTCATTTTCCTCTTCACTCTGCAGCAAAGAACCCAGTATTCTGTTTCCACTTATTGTTGGACTAAGCTCCAAGCTTCTTGTCTGTGCAATGCTTGTTTGTCTAATGCTGCAGGGCTTAGGACACCCAACCCGCCTTGTCCTTTCTTCCTTGTGACGTATTGCCAGGCCACCTTTGTGATGAAGTGTTGTTTGGAGGCGTCCCCTGTCCACAGATAGGAGGCCGCTTTCTGCTTGAGTGCTTTTAGCGCTTGGTGTTCTGGAGAATCGATAAGATTGAGGAGTTTAGGATCAATGCTCGCCCGTGTAGTGAGGTATGGATGTTGCCCCACGCGCTATGTTTGTTTGTTAGCTTGGCTAGTAGGCTGGGGGCCATCTCCGCAGCCGCCCCATGTTTTGTCATTGGGATCCCGAGGACCCTCATTGGGTCATTGGGGTCGGTCCAAGACATTCCTTCTGGGTTGTACGGGGGAGGGGCCATGTTTTCGTCCGTTATCCACCAACCGACTGTTTTCTGCCAGTTGATTTGCATTTCGAAAGCTAGTTGAAAAGCGTGCATTGCTCTGGTGAGGGCTTCAAAGGACGAGTTGGAAGCTCTAATCAGGACTGTTAGGTCGTCTGCGAACAAGATAGTAGGGGGAATGTGTATTTTGTGCAGTTGATTGTTTGATTGATCGGTAAGCCTTTGAATAGATGGGTCCTTCCTAAGGTAGGAGGCTATCGCTTCCATAATGAATAGGAAGATGGGTGTTGCTAAAGGATCTCCTTGTCTCACTGATGTAGACGTCGTATACCTGATGGATGTGTGACCATTCACGTGTACTGCTCCATGCGCATCATTGTAGAGAACTTTTACCCATTTCCAAAAATTTGGCCCTACTCCCATCTTTTCCATACAAAGTTGTAGGAAGTCCCAATTAACTTGATCGTATACTTTTTCAAAATCAAAGAAGAGAAATCAATTTGCTACTTCTATCTTTGATATGTCTAACCGATTCCACCAGCGTCATTACATTGTCTAGGGTGAACCTACCTGGGATGAAACCTGTCTGGTCTATGTGGAAACAACTCCTCGTAACCTTTCTTATTCTGTTCGCTAGAAGTTTGGGTATTATTTTATACACTACTGTTAGTAGGGTAATGGGTCTATAGTTCTTGATATCTGCTGGGTCACCCTTTTTGCAAAGTAGTGTAACTATTCCTGTACTTAGATAAGACCGTAGTCCTTCTTTTTCCCATGCTGATTTTACTAATTTGCACAGCTCTTCTCCTAGGAGTGGCCAATATTCCGCCAGAACTCCTTGAAAAGGCCTGTCCAGGCCCAATGTTTTCTAGATTTCATGGAGTCTAGAGCCTTTTGAATTTCTTCATTTGTTATCGCCTTATCCAACTCTTCGGCTAGGTCGGTTGATATTGTTTTGTCTAAATACTTGGTAAATTTAGCTCTGGCCTGTTGTACGGAATTGGTTGTGGGGGACTCGGTCTTGGATGTGTAGAGGTTTCTGAAAAAGATTTCTGCGATGGATAACATTTTGGTTGGGTCTGCAGTGAGTCCTTCCTCCCCTCTCAACTGTTGGATGGCCGAGTTCCTTCCCCTAGCTCTAATCTTTTGAAAGAAGACCTTGCTCATCTTCTCCCCTTCCTCCCATTCTTTGATTCGGGCTTTCAATCTTAGCCCTTTGGCTTTCCAGGCACTCCAATTGGCTAGTTCGTCTTTTGCGGTGACAAGTGCTTCCTTGTAATCTGCTTGTCCTGGGTTGTGTAAGAGGTTTATTTCTGCCAGGCTCAGAGCTGCTTCCAGCTCTTGGATTCTTTGGTTTCTTCCGGATGCCATCTTTCTGGCGGCTAAGGAAGCTGCCCTGGAGAGGTTGGCTACCAGACCAGGAAAGTCTGCTCTCTCGTTTTTGGAGTGTATGCATGCTTGAGCGATTGCTTTCTTCATTTCAAGGGCGTTGAGCAGGGAATTGTTGATTTTGAAGAATCCTGGACCTTTACGCGTTCCTGGGTATAAGACTAGTCCTACAAAGATTGAGCTAATGATCAAGTCCAATATGGTAGGGGTGTTTGCCCACTCCTACTTGGAGCACTGTTCCTCTGAGTGATTCAGAAATTAAGAAGTAGTCTATAGCCGAACGTGTGATGTGCTGGGATCTGTTTCTTTTTCTGTATGTCATTCTATTTTTGTTGGGGTAAAATGTTATCATGGGTTCCTTTCTAACATGAGTGCTTGAACTACTTGGGATTCCGCGATTTGGCTTGCTTCTCTATCTCCTTGGGTGTTCAAGGTTATATCCTTCAGTGGATCTAAGGCAGTATTCCAGTCCTCTGCTAAAATGATGCGTCTCTGGCCTTCGCACATCCTGCTAAGTTATGTATGAAGGGCTGTCTTTGGGAGAGTCTTTAGGGGCGTAAATGCTTATTAGCTGGAATGATTCTTCCTTGTAGGTGAATTGCAGTTCTATCCACCTGACTTTGGTTTCGTCTGTTGTATAACCTGTGATGTTTATTAGATTGGGTGCTCTTGAATTAATGTGACACAAAATCACCATGCCAACTGAGCCCACCCTTGGGGAGGGGGCCCAGTACCCCTTTTTTTTATTTTTTTTAATAAACAAAACGGGCCTAGTGCCTCTATTCACTCGATCGAAATAGGTGATCTGCCGCACTGCACATGTCTAGACCACAAACCGGTGACGCTAGAGCTGACCCTAAATAAACATATCCAGAGGGGCAGAAGTTTCTACAAGATAAACAATTCCCTGCTAAAAACTCTAGAGCTAAGAAAGGCCATACTAAAGGTATGCTTGGACCACGACAGCGACTCACAGTCGTTCCCTAATTTAATCAATGCACTGACGCAAGCATCGTCAGCAGTGGCCAGGCAGTTAGCAGCCAGAAGGAAAGCTAGGGAACAGGAACTTCGGCAAGCCCTACGTATAGCAGAGAGGAACCTAATCAGCAACCCGGGAACGGAATTATACGAAACCACAATAGAGGAGGCAAGAAGGGAGTTAGGGGACTGGGAACGCTGGAGGGCTAGGGGTATGCAGTTGAGAGCAAGAGTAAAAGAATGGGAAGAAGGAGAACGAATGACAAAGCATTTCTTTCAAAAGACTAAAACCAGAGGTAGGAATTCGCAAGTAGAGCAGCTGGAAGGCCCTCAGGGAGTAGTGTCAGATCCCGGAGGTTTGTTGTCGGTAGCCAGTAGCTTCTACACCTCACTCTATAGGTCTAGAGAAGGGGACCAGGATCCAAGACAGGTAAAGGAAGTTCGGAATAAATTCCTAGCCTACGTGGACCGCACGCTGAATGGGGTCCAGGCAGAAATGCTAGATGCCCCGCTTTCACAAGAAGAGCTGAGAGTGGCTTTAGATACAATGCCTCCAAACAAAACGTCGGGCAGGGATGGACTGACAAGGGAGTTCTRGCAGGMGTATTGGRAAATCCTGGGTGGGKAATACGAAACCTTCTTGAACCAGGCATKGATCAAYGAAGGCATGGGARCRGAATCATCAACAGGGGTAGTCACCTTAGTGTATAARAAGGGAAACCCTARGGACATTAGAAACTACAGACCGATTACACTCCTGACACTAACACACAAGATAGTGGCCAAAGCATTAGCGAACCGCTTGAGGAGGCTAACGGCCAACTGCTTCCACTTGGATCAAACAGGCTTTATCCCAGGGAGATTCATCCTGGACAACGTGATGACTTTATTGGAATCGGTGAGATTCATAGCGAACAAAAGAATGAACGCGGCTATCCTCTTCTTTGACTTCGAAAAAGCATATGACCAGGTCAGCTGGCCTTTTCTACAGCAATGTATGGAGAAAATGGGAGTAGGTCCCAACTTTCGCAAGTGGGTGAGAGTATTATACAACGATTCACACGGCCAGGTACAAATCAACGGATATCTTTCAAATAGATACAAAATGACTAGATCAGTGAGGCAAGGTGACCCATTATCCGCCCCCATCTTTCTCCTTATCATGGAAGCCATAGCTTCATTCCTTAGGAAAGACCCTTCAATCGACCGTCTAATAGCAGAACTGGAACAGCAGGGGCGTATAATAGAATTACCCACCACGATACTATTCGCGGATGATCTCACAGTACTCATCAGGGCCACAGTTTCCTCTTTTCAAGCACTCACAAAAGCGATGGAAGCATTCCAGTTAGCATCGGAAATGAGAATTAACTGGCCTAAAACAATAGGATGGTGGCTTATATATGACCAGCAGCAACAGCAGCCCCAACCCCCTGACCATGGGGGAATGGAGTGGCTACCCCCACACCAACCGTTGAGGTATCTGGGGATTAGGCTAGCGGACGAGGGCCCCCATCACTCCATGGCCCCTGATCAAATGACCAAAATGCTAGCAAAGTTGGACGCATGGTCTACCATTTATACCTCCCCGTACGGGAGAGCCTTGGTCCTCAATGCCTCCATCTTCTCCATGCTATGGTATGCGGGCACCCTCYGGTCACCCCCAGGATCAACACTTTGAAAGCTCCGAAGGGTTGCAGCAGCCTATCTGTGGACAGGGAACCCGACCAAGGATAACTTCATTTCCAAGGTTGCCTGGAAACAAGTAACACAAACAAAGAATCGGGGGGACTGGGCATCCTGGATCCCGAACAGCAGATTAAGGCACTCCAATCAAAATGGATTATCAAGCTGGTAACGCAACCCCACTTGCGCTGGGTTCCCCTAGTATTGGAGCACATACGAGGACTTTTGAAGTTCTCAACTCCTCCAAATATGGAGGGCACCTTCTGGATATTCTGCAAAGGGTGGGCAAAAAGGGGTAGRACAAGGGAGCGGGGGGSTGAGGAGGRAACTTCCTTCCCATCATAYTGGGCACRRATTCTTAGGATATGGGAAGAGATATTCCCGGCTAGAGTACGGAAACCTAGATCCAAGGAGGAAGTCCTCAGGCAACCCTTGTTTTGTAACCCCTGGTTACAGGATTCCCAAGGGAAGCCGAGGACATTAACAACTAGGGACACCAGATGGGGGAATTGGTTGGAACACGGGGTCTGGCAGATCAAGCACTTATGGTCCCAGAATGACAATAGATGGAAGACAGGGAGAGAACTGAGAGATACGATGAAAGGATGTCATAAGCTTACGGAGAATCTAAACGACGTTCTAATATCCATTCCGCAAGAATGGACGCAGTTGTTGAGAGGGCCGTACAAATGGGAATGGGGTGATTGGGGGACCTGGCACATAAGTGCAGTTCCAGAGCAGGCCTTCCGGGTGCAGCAGGAAGTGGGCCCAGATAATTAGTGGCTTGATGCAGAGATGTTCGTAATTCGTAATCCGGGAATCACAGTGAGTCACCTGGATAAAGAATCCAAGACAGCAATCACAGTTAAGAAGTGCCTTCTCAGGAAGATGAGGGTGGTAGAGGATGACGAATTTACAGTATTTGCACCCACGGTGGCCATTGAAGATTTGGAGTACGACCCGGCGGAATGGGCATGGAATATTAGGGGTGGAGAGACACGAGTGACAACGAAGATTAACATTCTCCGCTATACAACGAGACTAGGTTATAGGCTGAGGAGAAGATCGACCCATCTGGATCTTCCCCTAGCCTTAAGATGGGAAAAGAGAGAGGGAATACCAAGAGACCAGGTGGGGAAGTTGCCCTGGTCGTCCCTTCACAGTATCAGATTGGGTCAGATCAGAAGTCTACAGTGGCTCATCCTCCATGTGGCCCTCCCTGTCAACTCTTGGTTGTATGAAAGAAGAAGCAGGCAAGCTAGGGAAGAGGAACGAAACTCTACCCTATGTACGGGTGGGGCTCTGGAAACGATGGTCCACTGCTTAATCTCATGCGCGGAGGCAGAGAAGGTATGGGCGTTAGCTCGCGTACTATGGTCCCGGGTCACGGAAGTTCCCTTCCCTCCGATCAGAGACGGACTCCTAATCAACATGGAAGCGCACAGAGACTGGAATTCCTGCCAAAAATACATTTTCCGGCTACTGAGGCTCTACGCGCTGTGGACAGTGTGGAAAAGAAGATGTCAAAGGGTGGTAGAAGAGAACCATATGACATTAAGGGAAGCCAGAGGAATAATGTACAACCTGCTGGAAACAGAAATCAGGGCACAATGGCAGAGAGCCAAGACGCAAGCGGAGAGGCAGGAAGAGTTAAATCGAGATAAGGTTAAGGAAATAATTAACAAGTTTAGGACAAAGGTTCTAGCAGGGGGCAAGGTGGCTTCATTGGAAGGGAAAGCCTTGCGCTTCCATTGGTTTAAGGACGATCTCCAGGACCCGCCGTATGAGGACGAGAATGGGGACCAGGAGCTTGGACTACCATAAACTGCGGGAAGGAGGAGCGATCTGCAGAAGAAATCGCAAAGGGAGGGAACCTCAGACCCACTTAAAATAAGACTAACTTCGCAAGGACAGGACTGAGATACAAACGGGGCTGGGGAAAAAGAGAGGGAGCAGCAGCGAAGAGACGAACAGCCAAGGATGTCAAGTATTGAAGAGGGAGAATAAGGGACAAGGGACACCAATTAAAGTGTCAGGGGAGGAAGCAGAGTTTAGGGTTTAGGGTTTTATAACACTTAAAAGGCAGAGAAAGGGGTTTTGGGGAACAGGGGGGAACACAGCTTTTGTGAAGAATTCGTAAAAAGAGGAGGGTAGATCACATGGCAGCAAGGGAGGATCTCTTCCTAGGTTTAACAGGGATTTCTGGCAGAGCTGTTAGGGCAGATCTGAGAGGGAAGAGAGACTCAAGGCAAGCTGACAGTCAATCCTCCACCAAGGGCGGAGTAATCAATGTTGTTCAGGGGTCCTCCGGACGAACGGGAGGAAGCGTGTGTTTTTTTTCTGTAATGTATTATGCTGTGACTTGCCGGTGGAATAGGAACCGGACTCACGCTCCCCAGAATAGAAGGAGCTAGGTCCATAAGGACCTATTTAAAA